ACCCTGGGCATGTGGGTTTTATAGAACTAAAAGCTCCCTTGTGGATTGACAGAAATTAGTCAGTGGGGTAGAGAGGGATCGGAGGGGAGCCACTTGCTGACGGACGGCCTCCCGCTGGGTTTTTTCCAAAGGATATGAACTTGAGAGACCTTGCTCTGCTCTACCGAGGTACTTCGGACATACGTCAATGAGGACGTATTCCTGGGATCACTGACCAGATACGGAGTTAAGCTTTAACTGGTACAAAGCCCTGACCCACATTCATGCACGTGAACACATGAAGCTGCCTTATACCGGATCGGATCCTTGGTCCACAAAATAGTAAAAAGCCCAATAGCACCTTTTAAGACTGGTAAACTTTATTGTAGTGTAAATGTTGAGAAACACAGCTCTCTTCGTCAGATGCATCTGGCGAAGAGAGCGGTGCTTCTCGAAAGCTTACGCTACAAAAAGTCTGTTAGTCTTAAAGGTACTACTGGGCTTTTTACTATTTTGCAGCAACAGATTAAACACGGCTGACTCTTCCGGATCATGGTCCATCAAGGTCAGTATCGTCTACTCAGACTGGCAGTGGATCTCTGGGGTCTCAGGCGGAGGTCTTTCCCATCACCTCCTGCCTGATCCTTTTAAACTGGAGATGCCAGGGATTGAACCAGGGACCTTCTGCATGCCAAGCAGAGGCTCTGCCACTGAGCCACAGCCCCTCTTGACAGCTCTCCAGGGTCTCAGGCGGAAGTCTTTCCCATCCACTCCTGCCTGGTCCCTTTTAACTGGAGATGCCGGGGATTGAACCAGGGACCTTCTGCAGGCCAAGCAGAGGCTCTTCCACTGAGCCTCAGCCCCTCTCTACAGCTCTCCAGGGCCTCAGGCAGAGGTCTTTCCCATCACCTCCTGCCTGGTCCTTTTTAACTGGAGATTCTGGGGATTGAACCTGGGACCTTCTGCATGCCAAGCAGAGGCTCTACTGCTGAGCCACGGCACCTCTGCCTTGCACACGACTGCTGGATGCAGCAGTCAGGCAGTCGAGGCTGAAATCAGCCCCGATGACGGGGATGCAAATTTTCCCTCCAAGAGTTCAGCAAGAGCCTGAAGCAAATGCTTCAGGATCAGCATAGAGTTTTAGGGGATAACGCCGTGCAGATTCGTATCACTTCAACCCCTCACTTGCAATCCGTGGGCAAAACGCAGTATTGCTCTCTGTGGAAAGAGAGCCGGCCACGTCGCACCTCTATGCAAAGCCCCAAGATTCAGAGTACGGACACAGGAAAGGCCTTCTTCCTTCTTGTGAACGTTTACAGAAAAAGGCAAGAGCCTGCAAGCTGGTAAGTGGAGACAGGCCAGCATTTGGCCGTGGAAACTGGCTGAAAGCCTCCGTGGCACAGAGGAGTCGGCCACGAGGGACTGCCTGGGAAGGCCCGCTCCCCACCGAAAATAAAAATGTTAGCTATGAAATATTACTAACAAAATAAAATGAATTGAAATCCTTTGAAACATTACAAGCATTAAACATTAATCTTACAAACTGGGAGAAAATACAATTAAAATCAAGATTTGCCTAAGATAAAATAAGAAACTTTGCGCAAACAAAATCGGATTTAGACAAAATTTGGCTGTCCTCTGCAGATAAAATGATACAAAAAGTATATAATTTCCTATTAAATGAGGATATGCAAGCGGAAACAATAAAACCATGTATGAAGATCTGGATGAAAGATCTGGGAAAAAACTTAAGTTTAGAGAATGGGTCTAAAATGTGGGGTTCAACAAAATTATTAAGAGCTACATCCTACAAAGAAAACATTTTAAAAATGTTTTACAGGTGGCATTGGACACCGGATAAGGTAGCAAAATGTTATAAAAATGTATCAGGAAACTGCTGGCGTTGTAAAAGAAATATTGGTTCGTATTATCATGTATGGTGGAGGTGCGAAAAACTGGTTAAACTTTGGAAAGCCATAAAACAAATAATTATAGAGATAGTTGAAATAGAACTTCCGTTGGAATCAGAAATATACTTGCTGAATATGTTACCAGAAGGTATAAAACATAATGATTTATGCTTGATATTATACATCCTTACCAGTTCCGGAATTCTTATAGCTAAAAGTTGGAAATCAGATAAAATACCAAGTAGAGAAGAATTAATTATAAAAATTATGGAAATAAAAGAAATGGATAAAGTAAACATAATATTGTTGGGAAAGGACGAAAATGTGTTTAAAAAAAGATGGCAGAAAGTAGATAGATGGTTGGAAAAAAATGTGTAAAGAATACTCCAAAATAGGATGTAAATGATTATACTTTTGTGTAACTTTTTATTATGGAAAAAACTTAAACAAACTATTTAAAAAAAAAGGAAGGCCCCCTCCCCCTTCCCATGAGGGGGATTTCCTACAGCCGCCATCTCCCAAGTGACACTGCTTCTTGGGAAAAAGAGACACCAGCTTTTCTGCTTCGCGGCTGCCCCCAGGGAACTCTGCAGGGGAGACGATATTTCCAGGGACGGGAAGAGCTAATATCCTAAGATCACCAGCGGGCCTGAAGCTCTGGAAATACCCGTCACCCGAGAGGTTCCTTTTGGCAGCAGGGCTCGACTTCTTGCAAAAGAGGGGACGTGGGGGATACAGAACAGAGCCTCGGAGCATATGTAGAGCGCCATTCCTTTCCTATAGCCAGCCGCTGCGTACCTGGGGCAGGGCGTGAATTTTGCGACAGCAGCATAAACACTTTCGGGATGATCGTGCCTGGCAGGAAGGAGGAGGAGGAGGAGGAGGAGGAAGAGATTGGATTTAAACCCCGCCCTTCACTACCCAAAGGAATCTCAGAGCGGCTTACACACTCCTTCCCCTTCCCCTCCCCACAACAGACACCCTGTGGGGCTGAGAGAGCTCTGACAGAAACTGTTCTTTTTCAAGGACAGCTCTGAGAGAACTTGTGACTGACCCAAGGTCACCCAGCAGGTGCAAGTGGAGGAGTGGGGAATCAAACCCGGTTCTCCCAGATCAGAGTCCGCACTCTTAACCACCACACCAAACTGGCTGGTTGGTGGGGCTGAGAGAGCTCTTTCCAGAACTGTCCTTGAGGGAACAGCTCTGACAGAACTACGGCTTGCCCAAGGTCACCCAGCAGCTGCGAGTGGAGGAGTGGGGAATCAAAAACCTGGTTCTCCCAGATTAGAGTCTGCGCACTTAACCACTGCACCAAGAACTGAGGCACTGCCGTACCACACCGGATAGAGAGCATCTGTTTGCAAGCTGCTTATCGCGTGTGCTCCTCAAATGGCGGAACTCAGCAGCCCTCTGAAGCTACCCCATTGAGTTCCCTTGTGGACATGGACGGAAGGCATCTCGCTTCCGCTGCTGCCAACTCCAGCTGGGGAAAGCCCTGGAGATTTGGGGGCAGGGACCTGGGGGGGGGGTGTAGTTTGGGGAGGGAGCTCCGTGGGGATGCGATGCCCTAGAGCACGTCCTCCAAAGCTGATTTGTGCTGTCTGGAGTTCAGCTGTAATTCCGGGAGAGTGCCAGCCTCCACCTGGAGGTAACCCTAATTGTCTCCAATTGTGCAGGAACACCAAACGGATTCATAAGAACGTGAGAGAAGCCAAGTTGCATCAGGACAGTGGCCCATCCAGGCCAGCACTCTGTCACACAGTGGCCAAAACCCAGGGGCCACCAGGAGGTCCACCAGCGGGGCCAGAACTCCAGAAGCCCTCCAACTGTTGCCCCCCAAGCGCCAAGAAGACAGAGCATCACTGCCCCAGACATAAGAACACAAGAAAAGCCAATGTTGGATCAGGCCAATGGCCCATCCAGTCCAGCACTCTGTGTCACACAGTGGCCAAAACCCAGGGGCCCTCAGGAGGTCCACCAGTGGGGCCAGAACTCCAGAAGCCCTCCCACTGTTGCCCCCCAAGCGCCAAGAAGACAGAGCATCACTGCCTCAGACATAAGAACACAAGAAAAGCCAATGTTGGATCAGGCCAATGGCCCATTCAGTCCAACACTCTGTGTCACACAGTGGCTAGAAATAACAGGGGCCATCAGGAGGTCCAGCAGCGGGGCCAGGACACCAGAAGCCCTCCCACTGTTGCCCCCCAAGCACCAAGAATGCAGAGCATCACTGCCCCAGGCATGTAAGAGAGGCCATGTTGGATCAGGCCAATGGCCCATCCAGCCGAACACTCTGTGTCACACAGTGGTCAAAACCCAGGTGCCATCCAGAAGTCCACCAGCGGGGCCAGAAGTCCAGAAGCCCTCTGATTGTTGCCCCACAAGCACCAAGGACACAGAGCATCACTTGCCCCATCTATAGTAAAGGTAAAGGTTTCCCTTGCTCAAAAGCCAGTCGAATCTGACTCTAGGGGTGCGGTGCTCACCTCCGTTTCCAAGCCGAAGAGCCAGCGCTGTCCGAAGACGTTTCCGTGGTCATGTGGCCGGCATGACTAGACGCCGAGGCACACGGAACGCTGTTACCTTCCCACTGAAGCGGTACCTATTTATCTACTTGCAATTTCTTGCTTTCGAACTGCTAGGTTGGCAGGAGCTGGAACTAGAGACGGGAGCTCACTCCGTCATGCGGCACTCGGGTCTCGAACTGCCGAATGAACGACCTTCCGGTCTGCAGTTCCCCATCTTAACCAGCGTCCATCTATACCCTGTTGCTAATAGCCACTGGTGGGCCTCTGCTCCAGATGTTTACCCAATTCTCTGTTGAAGCTGTCTGTGCTCGTAACTTGCGGCAGTGAATTCCACGTGTTCACGACTCTTTGGGTGAAGAAGGACTTCCTTGGATCTGTTCTAAGCCTACTGCTCCTTAATGTCATGGAGCGCCCATGAGTTCTGGTACTGTATTCATTCAGATGAACTCAGGAGTCCATTCAAGAATTTTCGTTGCGCGAATGAGACACGAACTTACAATGGAGTCCACAAAATTTAAGCCTGATGAGTCGGGGGGGGGGCGGGGGGGGGAGAGAGGGAGCACTCAAAGCAAAGACTCCGTACCTGAGGGGCTCTGGACCACCGACGGCGTGGAGGGGGAGCTGGCGGCCGCGGAGTCACACTGCCCCGTGCTCCCGCTGGAGGGAGGGGACGGCGACGAAAGAGGCGAGGGGCCGGGCTGGCTGGTGCACTGGGCCACGGCGAAACCTGGCGGCAAAGAAAACAAAAACAAAAAGGAAAGGGGGAAAGGGGGAAAAGACGTTACCGACAATGCAAAAGCGCCTCCACGCAGGAAAAGGAGAGAGAAACGACACTTCTGCTTACTGGAAAAGATTGGCCAACACGAATGGCTGAAGGCAAGCCCAGGTGAGCAAAGGAACAAGGGAGACGACAGGTGTCAAACCTCAGTTCGTTGAACGAGGAGGGCAGGGAAACACAAAGCTCTGATGGCAGACTGAACGCCCGGAATGGTCTTCCGAACTTCCCTCCTTCTGGGAATGTCTTCTGTATTTCCTTTAAGAGTTCTACTTTGTTTATACCCTGCGTTGTTTCCCAACGGGGACCCAAGGCGGCCGATGTCATTCCCCTCAACTTTGTCCTCTTAACGACTCTGTGAGGTAGGTTAGCCAGACAGTGTGTGTGGCTGGCCCAGGTCACCCAAGTGAGTTTCCGTGCCAGAGCAGGACTTTGACACTGTCCTTCCAACACTCTGACCACAACACTCTCCCCCTGGGGTGCTGTGGACTCTTAGCCTGGGGCATGGGACACCATCAAACTGTGTATGAACACATCACTTGCCTCTAGTTAAATGGCCAGTTTGGTGTAGTGGTTAAGTGTGCGGATTCTAATCTGGGAGAACTGGGTTTGATTCCCCACTCCCCCACCTGCAGCTGCTGGGTGACCTTGGGCAAGCCATAGTTCGTCAGGGCTGTTCTCTCAAGGGCAGTTCCTTCGGAGCTCTCTCAGCTCCACCTAACCTCACAGGGTGTCTGTTGTGGGGAGGAGGAAGGGAAAGGAGTTTGTAAGCCACTCTGAGACTCGGAGTGAAGGGCAGGGTATAAATCCAATCTCTTCTTCTTCTTCCCCAACCAGTATACCTTCCTGTATTTTCAAACATATACTTGAAACCTCTCTGGTACATTCCTAAAAAAAGTGTTCTGTGAAGCTGCGCTTCACACCCACAGACTGCCCCCCCCCAATGCTCCCTCTAAGCTGTGGAGTCTTGTAAGCAAAAATTCTACTTTGTCAGCTCCTGGCATTAAAGTTGCGAGTGAGCAATTTGGCTACTGCATACATTAGTTTGCTCTGGAGCCATCCCTTCCTGAGTGAAGACGAAAACAATGGCCTACCCAGTATGTCAGCAAAGAGCAGGAAAATGGCATAAACAGCTGTGGCTATGTTGGACCCGGAAAGTGACCAACATTCTCACTTCTGAGATCTATCTGGCACAGGAAGGATGCCCTCCATACCTCCACCCTTGGGCAGAAAGAACCCTGACACTGCAAGCAGTAGTCACGATGTCCAGTAAAAGTCCCTTCTGCCGTTTTCAGTACATCTGCAGTTCTTAACCATAAAAGGAAAGCAGCAAAGGATGCACAATGTCCAAAGACAGGAAAACTCTGCCTCGGGGGAAGGCCTTGGCCTCTACGCCCTGTTTGTTTGGCCCTCCAGGGCAGCTGGCCGGTCGCTGTGTGAAAGAGGATGCTGGACTAGATGGACCACAGATCTGATCCAACAAGGCCCGTCTTATGCGTAATATTGACGGTGTCTGCCAGGAGAAAGATCAAGATGGGTCACCAATGCCATGTTCGTCTGACTGCAGCAGTAGAAAAGAGCAAGAGCCCAGCAGCACCCTAAAGACTCACAAAATTTGTGGTAGGGTATGAAGAAGTGAAACTTCACGTCCCTGGGATCCAAGATCACTGCAGACGGTGACTGCAGCCATGAAATCAAAAGACGCTTTTTGGGAGGAAAGCGATGGCAAACCTTGACAGCATAATGAAAAGTAGAGACAACCCCCTGCCAACAAAAGTCCGTATGGTCAAAGCAATGGTGTTCCCAGTAGTATTGTATGGCTGCGAGAGTTGGACCATAAGGAAGGCCGAGCGCCGAAGAATAGATTCTTTTGAACTATGGTGCTGGAGAAGACTCTTGAGAGTCCCCTGGACTGCAAGGAGATCAAATCAGTCAATCCTAAAAGAAATCAACCCGGACTGTTCCCTGGAAGGCCAGAGACTGAAGCTGAAGCTCAAATACTTTGGCCACCCAATGAGAAGGGAGCACTCACTGGAGAAGAAGACCCTGATGCTGGGAAAGACTGAAGGTCAAAGAAGACGGGGACGGCAAAGGATGAGATGGTCAGACAGTGTCATCGATGCAACGAACATGAAACTGAGCCAACTTCAGAGGACGGCGGAAGACAGGAGGGCCTGGCGGGATCTGGTCTGCGGGATTGCGAACAGTCGGACCCGACTGTGCAACAGAGACCCCCACGGGGGTTAGGGCGGTATATCAAATCGAAGTAATAAATAAATAAAAATAAATAAATAAACTGCACAACAACAAATGAAGACATGAGCGGTGACTCACGAAAGCTCCTCTCCTGCCACAAATTGTGTTAGTCTTCAAGGTGCTGCCGGTCTTCTGCTCTTTTCTACTGCCAGAAGAAAGTCGGAGACGTGTGCATTCAACAAAAACGATGGCCACCAAAAGTACAGTGGAGGAGAGGTGGAAAAGAAAGAGAAGCCTCGCAGAACGTACATCCTTCCAAGCAAGGTTTTGCTACTTCCCAAGAGCGTACAGAGCACATGGGCGCCACACCACCCACCAGAACCTGCCAAAACTTTGTAGCAAGCGCATGGGGCCACTGGAAGACAAGGTGTGTTACAGGCCATCCTCAATCAAATGAGTTTTCCACTGGAGGATGGGAAGGATTGGGAAACAGCTGACCTTTCCGTATTCAGTATGTGGTCCATTTTCCTTTCCAGGCTTTGCTTCTTACAGGGAGCGACTTGGAGGGAGAATGCCCTCCATTCAGCTCCGCCTTTCGTGGCAGCCATTTTGGGTTAGGCCCCGCCTCCCCGGCAGCCATTTGGGGGTGCTGCTCACCACCCACTCTTGATATTCCAAATGGGCCCGACGGTGCAAAAAGTCTCAGAGCGGCTTACAAACCCCCCCCCCCCAACAACAGACACCCTGAGAGGTCGGTGGGGCTGAGAGAGCTCTTTCGAGGACTGCTCCTTAGAGAGAACAGCTCTGAGAGGACTTGTGACTGACCCAAGGTCACCCAGCAGCTGCACGTGGAGGAGTGGGGAATCAAACCCGGTTCTCCCAGATTAGAGGCCGCACTCCTAACCACTGCACCAAACTGGCTCTCTCGGGCACGACGCGGGTGTTTCCGAGGGGAAGGGGGTGGAGGTGTTTGGACCCCTGCCCTGTAGAGCCGGACACCTTCACCTCCTTCCATCTGCCCAGCATGACGAACGCTCGGTCCTTCGCCCCAAGCGCCCCAGACACCGTGCTCCAGCTCTGAGAATACTGGCTCAGTGGAAACTTCTAGCTATTACCTGTCATCATTAATTGAAGAGCAATGAGAAATCTATTATTTCTCCCCCCCCCCCCACTTCCTGTAAATCAGCAACAGGAAACAGCGGAGGCCAGAAAAACAGGGTACTTTCTCAGACCACGGTTTCTCTGCAGAAGTCAAATAAATCTGTAGTTTAGGAAGACCTTGAGAGCGCATAAGGCCAGTCCCCATCCATTAGTTCACAGCGGCAGACAGAGAGAAAGAAAAAAAAACAGGTCGATTTGTGTGTGTGTGTTTTTCCCCTGAAAAACACCGCCTGTGGTTGGGGGAGGTGAAGAGACCAGGTAAAGCACCCGGCTGAGAAGAGCGCCCGTCGTCCATCCGTCCTCAGGTTAGCCAGTTGGGAGGGCCTCCAGAAAGAAAGAAGAGTTCAAAAGGCTCTGCGTTCTCCACAGTTGCCCAAATATAAGAAGACCAGGCTTAGGGGAAAGGACTACTCCCTCTGTACCCACTGGTACTGCTCTTCAGTTTGGTGTAGAGAGCCAGTTTGCTGCAGTGGTTAAGTGTGCGGACTCTAATCTGGGAGAAACGGGCTTGATTCCCCACTCCTCCACTTGCACCGGCTGGATGACCTTGGGCAAGCCGTAGTTCTCTCAGAGCTGTCCTTGAAAAAGAGCATTTTCTGTCAGAGCTCTCTCAGCCCCCACCGACCTCACAGGGTGTCTGTTGTGGGGAGGGGGAGGGAAAGGAGTTTGTAAGCCGCTCTGAGACTCCTTTGGGTAGTGAAGGGCGGGGTATAAACCCAATCTCTTCTTTTTCTTCTGGCCTTGGAGGGGCTTTTCTTGCCTTGTAGCATTAACCAGCACTGCAAATAAGTCTATACTAGTCACTAGGCCTCGATGACTTTTGACACATGAGCAAACTAGGGAAGGAAAAAACAAAACAAAAGGGGGGAAGAACAGGCACTTTCACATGTGCTGAATAATCCACTTCCAACCCACTTCCAACCAGTGTTCCCTCTAAGCTGAGTTAGTGTGAGCTGGCTCACAGTTTTTTAGCCTCCGGCTCTCACATTTTTGTCTCAGCTCAGGAAGGATGGGGCTCCAGAGCAAACTAATTCATGCAGGAGCTAATTTGCTCGCTCACAACATTAATCCCAGTAGCTCACAAAGTAGAATTTTTGCTCACAGGACTCCACATCTTAGATGAAACATTGCTTCCAATGCACTTTACTGATCTTCTGTAAGTGATTTTTGCCATTTTGCACAGCCAAATCCAGTTGCAAAGTAGACTGAAAGTGGATTATTCAGTGTGTGTGCCTCTCCCCACCCTTTGCTGCCTATCGTTGTATACCATCCACCTGCAACTGCTTCACTGCAACCCCATCCAAGCCCATAGCTACAATGGGGCTTTTGGGGGCTCCGCCCCCTTTCTTAAAGGCACAGCTCCACAAGAATTGCTCCTGTAAATGCTTTTTTCCAGTCATTTAAAAACATTTTCAAAAGGCATGTACTCCTTTAAGCAGAGTGGGGTGCTGTAGCTGACTAATTCCTGCACCGAGCAAGGGGGTTGGAGTAGGTGACCTCTAGGATCCCCTTCTAACTCTGTATCAAGAAACCGGTCTCCTTTCGGAGAGTTTTTCTGCGTATGTGTTAGCTGTCTTGACTACAGAAGTCATCAC